TCCCAGAATTCCCCAGCCAGCATGCTGGCTGGGGAATTCTGGGAGTTGAAGTCCAGATATTTTAAAGTTGCCAAGGTTGAGAAACACTGGTTTAGACTGGAGGTCTTTTAACATCTCTGGCTATGTTGTTTTTTTAAAAAAATACTGTATTATTATTGTATTATGTATTATTTTTTCATCATTAAGTACGGTGGACCAGCTTGTCCAATTGTCAGTTGGATTCCTAAATGGGAGATCTCATTGGATAATTCTGCTGACCAATGGGAAGAGAAGGGGAAAAGAGTTTTGAATTGAGATAATTTGAGAATGTTCTATGTTGTGATCCTGTGGATCTCAGCAAGCTGAAATACAGAGCTAGGACCCACACAGAGCCTATGGGTTTCCCACCCTATGATAGTCTAGTGATGAATCACATTCTCAAGTGTGGCATCATTTGATGTTGCAGCAACCAAGAACGTGCAGGTTGGATTCCCCTGATAGATGCTGGTTCTTTGCTCTTAGGATGATCCTGAGAAAACTGCAGCTACTGAACGTGGGGACTTCTACATCACTGGAGACAGAGGACTCATGGATGAAGATGGATACCTCCAGTTTATTGCAAGAGCAGATGATATCATCTTATCTTCTGGGTAGACTTCCCAATGCTTTGCAAGACATCTAATACACTTAACCCCAACAACGGCAATGCAAAATCTGAGTTCCATTCATAGGCCAAATACTCAATCCTGTACCATCATTGACAGACACCCTCCCCCCAAACACACACCCACACCACACACACATACAGAGATTCCATCAACATGAATAGAATCAAAACTCATGGAAATGCAGTCAAAGATTCCATCAACAGTATTAAAAATTTCCATCAACATAAACTGAATCAAAATGTTGATGTCTTCAAGGTGTGTACTGAGATTAGCTCTTTTGATCCAGTGACCTTCCAATTTCCACTTTCTACCTTTTGTGCATGCTCAAAGGTACTTTTGCTCCTCCACTGAAGTATGCAAGCAAGTTCTATGTACACACTTAGACACAGAGGGATTCACTCTAATAACCTGCCATGATCAAGTGCTTCCTGTTAATTTTGGAAACCAATTAAGCAATTTAATTCCATTTATAGCTTCCAGTATCCCTTCACCTTTGGCCTATATCAACATCTGAGTAGCCACTGATGAGCAGTGACTTTCAGAGATCAAAGTGGAGTTTTTGGCCTGTAGCCTACATACTTTCCCTTGATTTATGGTATTTTCCTATTTAGATATCGCATTGGTCCATTTGAAGTGGAGCACGCTTTGATGAAGCATCCTGCAGTAGCTGAAGCAGCTGTTGTCAGCAGCCCAGATCCCATCAGAGGAGAGGTAAGGTGGCCACAGTGATATGTGTCATGTCCTCAGGGTCAAGACCCCAACAAGGCACTGAACAGGGTTTGGAATATGATCACCCCAGGTCACCCCAATTCCAGAGAATCCCTCATCACCCCTTTGTGCCTTCCCAAAGCACAATATAGAAGAAAGGAGGGTTTATCTTTAACCTCAAGCAAATATAGGTCTGGTTTATACACCATGTTAGTCATGGTTCAATGCATAAGTCACATTGTGCCGGCTTGCACAATGTGCTAAATCTTAAGATGTGATCATCTGTGGGCACCCAACATACTCAGCTGAAATCAATCCATTAGAGGGTCACTGAAAGACCAGAACTGTCTTCCTTTTAGTCTGGGACCCCTTCCTTGCTAGGTGAAGACAATGGAAGTGATGGTCAGAGACATCTTGGAGGACACCAGGAGAAAAGTAGTGTAGGTCATGCCAAGCGAGATAGACTAGTAGTCCCAATCAGTAGACAACAGCACTTTCAACACTCCAGGGAACTAATACAAGTTTAATTTGTGGAGTCCTGAAGATGTTACCTAGCTGGGTAACGAAACATTTGCAAGAAAACAACCAAGCTCAGAGAA